TGTAAATATACCACATTTTTTTAAACGACTTGTCAGTTGAGGGACATTTAGGTTGCTTCCATCTCTTTGCTATTGTGATAAAAGCAGCAACAAACATGTTTATACAGGTGTCTCTACGATAGGATGAGTCCTTTGGGTATATGCCAAGGAGTGGTATAACCAGGTCGTGTGGTAGATTTATTTTTAGTTTTTTGAGAGTCCTCCACACTGTTTTCCATAGAGGCTGCACGAGTTTACAATCCCACCAGCAATGAATGAGAGCTCCCCTTTCTCCACATCCTCGCCAGCATTTGGTATCTGTTCTCTTGATCCTATCAGTCTGATTGGGGTAAGGTGATACCTTAGGGTGGTTTTAATTTGCATTTTCCTAATTACTAGCAATGTTGAACACTTTCATTTATATCTCTTCTTAATTATTATTATTTCCTTCTGCTGATAATTTGTTTCATTTGTTCTTTTTTAGTTGAGATCTTCTTTTTTAATGGATGTACTACTCTGAGGTCCCTTCTTAGTGTTTCCTGATGTCCATCTTGTAAATTTTGATATGTCATCTTTCCCTTTATATTTCAGTGAGATACTTGTCTTAATTCCCCTCTGATTTCCTCCTTGATCCGTTGGAGTATACTGTTTCATTTTCACATAGTTATGGGTTTTCCTTTTTGTATTTTTGGGATTGGTTTGTTTCATTCTCCTAAGGTTGGAGAAGATACTTATCTTCCTCAATTTGTAAGACTTGTTTTATGATGGAGAATGTTACCTTTTAAAAAATTTTATGTGTATGTGTGTATTGCCTGCATATATACACAAGTGCATCCATACTGTTCAGTGCCTGCAGAGGTCAGAAGAGGGCTTCAGATCCCCTAGAACTGGAGTTATGAATGGTTTTTAGCTGCCATGTGCGTGTTGGGAACCAAACTCGGGTCCTCTACTAGAGCAGCCAATGCTCTTAACTGCCGAGCCATCTCTCTGGCCCTTGTTCCTTGTGTCTTGAATGTGAATTGTGCTATCATTGGGGGAGCTTATATTTTTCTGTGTTTTTACTATCTATATTATATGTATTATTTTTCCACTTTTCATGTGTGTTATGCATATGTGTATGCATGTTTTTTCATGTGTGTGGGTACATGTGCACATGTGTGCTTGTGCATGTAGAGGCCTGAGATTGTTGCCGGGAAGTATCTTTATTTATTTTTCCACATTATTAACACAGAGTCCCTCAGTCAAACCCAGAGCTCCCCAATATGACCAGCCTTGCTAGCCAACTTGCTGTGGGGATCCTGTGTCTCTGCCTTCAGTGGCTGGAGTTACAGGTGGGCTGCCATGCCCACCCAACATTTACATGGGTTTCTGGGGATCCAAACTCAGGTACTTAGATTTGTGTAGCAAGCACTTAAATTCTGAGACATATCCCCAACCTCTATTTTATTTCTCTTGGGCATAATTTTCTTTCATTTCCCTTTTTGGCTTTTTGAGACTGCTTCTTACTGTGTAATCCAGGCTGGCCTCTGTGATTTTCTTGCCTCAGCTTCCATGGTGTTTGGATTGACATAACTTTGTTTTAGCCTCAAGATTGGTTTGTGGTTTTTTTACTCATTAATTGAGGTGAAGGTCTGCTGACCATAAAATCTGCTACTCTTTTTTGTTTGATTATATTTTCATTTTATACTTGCTGTTTTGAGGACTATTTTCACTGGCTTTAGAATTTTAGGTTGATTTTTCTTTCAGCATTTTAAGGGTTCTCTTGTGCTTTGGCTTGCTTAGTGTCCGATGACATGCTTACATTAATCCTTTTTTTGTTTGTTTGTTTTTTAATCAAGTAAAAAAATAGAGTACAGAATAATGGTTTCTGTTGTGACATTTTCATATCTCATTGCATTTTGTTAATATTCATCTCCCATTTACCCCTTCCTAACATCCCTCACACAGTACACCTTCTACTAAAACTGTCTGTCTCCTCATCAGGGCATCATAGCTTACCACATAGACAGTTCCACATCCCCTAACCTGCTGAGGATCTGGATCTGGAGCTACTGAAGTAGAGGTAGGGAAAAATAGGGAGAAAGAAAAACAAAACACAAAACAATGCAAGGTATACTCATATTGTTGGACAGAGGTGAGACAGAAAACACAACACTAAACATAATCACAGGGAAGATTTTCCTTACACAAGAGCACAATCTTTCTCTTTGTATGTTCTTTGTCACTCTCTTAGCACTTCTCTTTCCAGTGTTCTTTCTCTTTCTCTCTTTAGAATAGAGTCTATCTTTTGTCACTCTTACTCTTCTTAACATAATTACTTTGGAGGCTGCTTCTAATCTGCTATCTTTGTTTTTATGTTTTTAAATTTTACCTTTTATTCTTGGCAGTTTTGTACATGAATATAATGAATTTTAGTAGTCTTTTTCACGCCCTATAACTATGTATCCTCCCTTTGACCACTAAAACCCTTCTTTTTTTCCAACAAGTCTCTTCCTACTTTCATGACTTCTTTTTGTGTGTAACCCAATGAGTTTAAATAGGGTTGCCAGCTGTTGTAATAGTGGTGTGTCTAGTGTATGTACAACCAGCAAATTTTCGATTGGATATAATGCCCACTTCTAGAGGAGGAACACACATCTAGTACTGTAGACTAGGCCAAGCCCTGTGGCAGGGGAGGCTATAGGCCCCAGTGGGGAAGCCACTGCAGTTGTTTTGTTAGATGGATGTAATACATCTGCTAAAGTACCATCCAAGCATTTGTGTTTATGCCCATAGGTGTTTATAGAAGTCACTGTTTAGATGTTCTTGCTTCTTGCTGTTTATGTTTTTATAGTAGATGGAATTCCACTGAAATGGGCCAATAGCTTATATAAAACAGATGATGCAGAGACCTGAAAGCTCACTGCCTTACTGCAATGGGAGGAAGATTATCCCACACCTGTCACCCCCTCCAAGGCTCAGGGACTTTTGTGGAAGAGGTTGGCGGAAAGAATGTAAGAGCTGGAGGAAGGGGTGGAGTGTCAACTAGAAGTGTCCTCTGACTACTATGCTGGCAAGGTATAGTCACCTGCAAGCTATAGTCGCACCTCCTTACCTTCCTCGATGGGGGAGTCAGTTTCCCCTCCTATTCAATCAGTTGAACTTAGCCGCATATGGGAGAGGGGCTAAGGATATATAAACTGAGAATACCATGAGGCAGTTCTTGCCATTTTGTGCAGCTGTTGGGAAGTCACAGGATCTATATCTGAGTGTGGACTTTCCAGTACAACCGTAAATGGGGTGGTGGTGCTCACTTTACTGTAAATAAACCCCCACCCTCTGCTCTGTTAGCAAGTCCAATAAACTCGTTAGGAATTTTTTTTTTTTTTTAAATAGTGTTGCCTGCATGAGCATGGGTGGGAGGTTATTTACCTGTGTTTGGGCAACTTATCAATGGCTATACCACTGAAGAAAATGGCATCATTTTCCCCAGTCACTATTAGGTGTCAAAGGTCCCTAAGGGAAAGGTGGAGCCTCATGAACTCTTCCCCATTCTGGGATGAAATGTTGGTAGGCCCAATCTTGTGCAGTGCACAGGTAACCATGGCTGCAATGAGTTCAGTGAGTTCTAACGCATTGATTGTGTCATATCCAGAAGACACTTTCACAGCACTTCTTAACCTCAGGCTCTTACATTCTTCTCCCTCTTTTGCTATATTCCCTGAGTCTTGGTGTATGTGTGTGTGCATGTGTGAGTGCGTGCGTGTGTGTGTGTGTGAGTGATAAATATCCCATTTAGGGCAAAACACTCCACAGTCACTTATTCTCTGTACTGGTCGGTTTTAAGTATCTGTATTAACCACTATCTACTGCAAAGAAAAGCTTCTCTGATGAAGGCTAAGAGCTGTACTAACCTGTGGTTGTAAAGATATATATTTAGAAGGCAGCTTGATGCTGTGTCCATTTAGTAAAACTATAGTAGTAGATGGAATACTATATTTTTGTACTTTAGTAAGTAGAGATAAGGGATATTCTTTTTGTGTATTTATATAACATGAATAGATAAAATATATTCTAACAACAATTTTAGTCATTTAAATATCTTGTGCTAGTCATATTAAAATTAATTATGATATGATTATACTTATAGATACTTGTTTGTAATGTCAGTGAATTGCATAATGATGCTTTGGTTAATGATCAACTGATGAACTGCATGTGATGCTGGCCCATAAGATTATAATGGAGGTGAAAATTTCTTATCATTTAGTAATATTGTAGCACTGTGACCTCAGAGTACATAATTGTTTGTGGTGATACAGGTCTAAGGAAACCAATGTGCTGAAGTTCTATCAAAAGTGTAACACATATCAATGTATATAATATTTGATCATGATAATAAATGACTACACTATTCATTTATGTGTTTAGTATACTATACTTTTAATCATTATTTCTGAGTAGATTTCTACTTATTAAAAAAGTTGACTGTAAAAAGTATGCTGAGTTATACTCGGCAGCAGCCATGCCTGTCTTCTACCATGTTTTTTAATAACCTAATTTTGTGTTCATCATGGTCCTAGTAGAAATAGGCTATACTATTTGGTATATATTGCTGTCTACTACCATTGTACTAGGATATTCTATCTTTGTTTGTTGAACTGTATCCCATGATGTTCTTTTTATGATGAAATTTCCTAACAATGCATTTCTTAGAGTATTTCCCTCTTGTTAAGTGATTCATCACTGCATATTGTTAATAGAGTGTATGAAATGCAACTTTGTATGTTTGAAATGGGGAGAATTAATATACATTCATATTTATATGAAAGTCTCCCAAGAAACTAATAAAAGAATTTTTTTTTAAATGGGGGGAATATTGTTGGGTACATGAGGAATAGCTTTTGGAAAGGGACTCTTTACCTTTCATATTGTTAGATCTTTTTTTTTTTTCCTTTGAGCCATCTGATTATATTGCTTATTGAAATTTTTGTAAAAGATTTTAAGGAAAGCATTTTTTGTTTTCTTTTCTTTTTAACCAGTAAACTAAAAAAGCTGAGTGAAGACAGTTTGACTAAGCAGCCTGAAGAAGTTTTTGATGTGTTGGAGAAGCTTGGAGAAGGGTAAGTACAAAAGATAAAAGTAACTTTTAGAAAATGGCAGACCGTTTAATCTTTCAACTAGAGTATATTTGCTGGAGTTGAATACTACTAATACCAATTAAACTTGGCAATTAATGTGGAATTTTAAAGATCAGGCTATGCTAGATATGATAATATTGTCTTTTAGAGAAGTAAACTGCGAAGCAAGAAATATATTGTCAAGTGATTGGTAAGAGCCCTGCTCATTACATGTTGCATCCTCATTACTAAACTTGAGCAGTTTTGGCTTTGTTAGGCAAATTTTTATAGGTTTCTTTCAGCATGTTAGGGTTCATTTCGTTTGGTAAAAGGCCAGTAGAAGGGGATAGTTGAATATCTTGAGGAAATCATTATGTCTAGGCAGAGGAATTATTAGCATAGTTTCAGAATAATAGAGAAATGTATATCATTTTGGGCATAGAAAGGTAGGTAATAAGCATAAAATAATTAAATTTATAAGAACATATGTAATCAAACATTTTTGACTAAATGTCAGTTGTCACATTAAAAGATGAACTATGAGCTGGCACGCCTTTAATCTCAGCACTCAGGAGGCAGAGGCAGGCGGATCTCTGTGAGTTCAAGGCCAGCCTAGTCTACATAGTGAGTTCTAGGCCAGTTGGGGCTACAGGGAGACCCTGTCTCAAAAAAACAAAAAATAAGAAAATAAAAATAAAAGATGAACTATGGAGAAAATTAAAAATAAAAAACTAGCTATATGCTGCTTGTATAAGATCTATATAAAACACATAAAGTGAATAAAGGAATATTTTATGCTAAAAATTATATAAGGAAAAAGTTAAACACATGAGTAAAAACAAAAAGAAACTAGAAGTACCAATATTTATATTAGGTAAATTAAAGTTAAATTAAATTAAAGAAGTACATTAGCTAAGGATAGAAAAGAAAAACCATAGCAAAGTATTTTTGTTACACAATATGATACAAAAATTTATGATGGGAAAGTTATTGGCACTGTCAACAGAATTTAATAAAAATAGATGTGTGGTTTCCATATATGTCTTTTAGTATCAAACAGATATGAAAATTAGAAAGGGATTCCAAGTATTATAATGAATAACTTGATTATATATGTCCATATTTATCTAAAGCAGTGATATGCTTTCATTCCTGTGTGTATTCACATATATCTTTGCAGTCTTCCTTTTTGACGTGTGTTGATAGACAGAAACGTGACAAATTCTAAAATAATTTTTTACAACTCACATTTTTCTGATTATAGTTTGCTAAGTTAGATATAAATAATTACAAAATGGCAAAACCCACACTAAAATTGGAAATTGGGAAACATAATATGAGGAAACGTGGATTGAAGGCAACATTACAGATGATCTAGAGAGCAGTGAAAAGGAGAGCATGTGCCAATATCTGAAGAATATGAGAGTACTAATTAGAGCAAAGTTTTAGATTCAAGTCTTTCATTACTAACAAAGGCAAAACAATTAGTATTTACTTAACAATCTCAGAAAAAAAATAAATATAAGAAAAGAAATGAAAGAGAAAATGAATGTTTTAAAAGCTGAAATTAAATAAATAAAAATTTAGGACTAATAAATATATACAATAGCTTTTGAACAGATTTTATCAACAATATGATTAAATCTCTTCTGCTATTGCCTAAGGAAAAGAGAGTGCAGGGATGTAACATGGACAGGGTCCAGGGTTCAATCCCAGTACCACAGAGAGAGAAGAGAGGTTTGGAGGGAGACTGAATCTAGAAGATTTGGAATAAGAACAGGATATAACCAAGCAGGAAATTACTCTGAGCATTAAGAGAGTTTCTTATATCCTGCCCTAGACAATTAATTTGAAAATCCAGAAGCTAATTTTGTCCCAATAGATAAAAATTATGTGACTTGATCTCCTGAGGAAGTTAAAACTTAGATTAGTTAAATCAGAGACGATAGAAAGGTAATTTAATATTTATTAATTAAAAAATAGAAGACTCTCTTAATTGCTTTCCAGTTGCTGGGATAAAATACTCTGACAAAAGCAATCAAAGGAAGGAAGGGTTTATTTTGGTTTTTAGTTCCAGGTTACAGTCTGCAGCTTAGCCCTCTGGAGTCAGCTCTGCTCTATGCATACAACTTTCCTTCCTGGAAGTCCCTCCAGTATCCTGAGGTCTGCCCTGCAAATTAGGCTTTACCTTCACAGATTCACAGTCATCTCTCAGGCCTCCTTGTGGGGACTCCTGTCCAGCCACATATTGCCTGGCCTTAGCTGCTCTCTGAAACCCCTCAGTAGGACTCCATGACCACCTCAGTTTTGTGTCTTCTTGTATTGAGATTTTGTGACTGTTCTCATTGGCAAAGTCTTAACTGTAAACCGCTTAGGGAAGGGGGATTCTCGGAAATAGTTCCCAATTTCTATTTTGCAGTGTTGAGGCATCCTTAGAAAGGAGGACTATTGTTGCTTACTTGGCCATAGATAATATAGCAGCAAATTCCCTGTCAGCTCTTGAGGGAAGATATTTAAGTCCCCTTCTCTAAGATGTGACTTTGTACATTATGATGAATCAAGTTGCTTCAGAGTGCCGTAGACAGAAAGTAGAATCAAATTTATTTTGTTGACCTACCTTCTCTTTTATTTGTTACACTTTCATTTATTTTCAAAGATTGTAAATTTGGAAGCGTTTTATATAGTTTCTAATATTAGGAAACACAGGTAACATTCCATGTCATCTGATGGCTTGCTCTTCTTTCTTTTCTTGGAAATAATGTAGTGAGAAGACCATGAACTTTGGAATCAGAAAGTGAAGCCTGGACTTGATAGATACTGGGACCTAAGTCTTGTTTCCTTATCTTTCAATGATGTTAATAATATTTTTCCTTACAGTTGAGAGGAAGGATTTGATAATGCACGTAAAACACCTATACTAGTACCTGGTGTATAGTAAGAACTCAGCCTTGTTTTGTAGTTCATGTAAATTACACATGACTTCCTCCTTCATTTGTTTTGCTTTTCTAAAACACACGAATCTTCAACTGACATTTTTTCAAGTGCTAGAGAGGAGACATTTTTGAGCAAGCATTATTAAATCCTGTGTCTCCTTTATTTATCTTTGAGTCTTTCTCTTGAAGAGAAGATAGTAACTGAAGCATTTGAGGGGACTTTGGATGTCTCAAAAAACAAAACAAAGCAAAACAAAACAGAACAGAACACAACAGAATACAACACAGCTTAAAAATAAGGTTCAGAGAGGAGGGTTTCAGCTTTTCTTTCATATTCTGAGCAGAGGCAGGTCCCTGATATTCTGGGGGTTGTTTTGTTTGACATCAGCCTTTTCTCTTAACTTGAGACTTTGACTGTTTTTAATTTACCTTTCGTACTTCTAATTTCCACTTATATCTTCTTAATGCTCCATTTGAGTTGACAAACCAACTGTAAGTTAGCCTGCCTGCCTTCCTCCTTGCTCCTCCCTACCTGTCTCTTCCACTCCCTCCCTTCCTTCCATAAGAAAAATAGCAACTCATTGTATTTATAGTGATAATTTTAAGTTTGTAATTCAAGCAGTAAAGCTAATTTTTTACTTTTATTGTTATTATTTCTTGATTTATTTTTTCATCATTTAAATAATGTTTTAAGCTAGAAAATACTTTGCATAAAAACTCATAGTAAGCTTTAATAGACTGTTCGATATGAAAAAAACAAATGTCTTGGTTTTTTTTTTTTTTTTTTAAGGTCTTACGGAAGTGTTTTTAAAGCAATACATAAGGAATCTGGTCAGGTTGTTGCGATTAAGCAAGTACCTGTTGAGTCAGATCTTCAGGAAATAATCAAAGAAATTTCCATAATGCAGCAGTGTGACAGGTATGAAGAGATTTTATTTCTTTGTGCTCATTTTGATGAATTTCATTAGTAGTGTATAAGAAAATGTATTTTCTGTTACCTATTTAGATTTTTTTCTGCCTAACTTCCCATTAGAAGTGAGACTAAAAATTGAAAGAACAGGAGGACACCTTTGTAGAATTGTTATTAAGGCCTACAGCTCTTTGCTTGCAAAACAGACATTATAAAAGAACATGTTCTGAGAAAAATAACCAGCTTTCCTCTTTTCAGGACAAACTTGTAGATGGATATTAAGTTTTTGATGCTAAGTGGATCATTTTATGTTCTATATTGAATTTTTTTTATTGAATTTTTAAAAATTTTATTTTATGTATATACCAATGCAAACAGTGCCTGTGGAGGCCAAAAGACTGTGTCAGATTCCCTTGAGCTGGAGTTAAGGATGGCTGTTAGCCACCATGTGAGTACTGGGAACCAAACCTGGGTCCTCTGCAAGAGCACCAGTGCTCTTAACCTCTGAGCTACCTCTTCAGTCTTGTTTATTTTTTTAATACAGGGTTTTCTCTGTAGCCCAAGACTGGCCTTGATTTCAGTATGTAGCACAGGTTGGCCTCAAATTTGAGATTCCCCTGCTTCAGCCTTCTGAGTATTGGATTATAGACATATTCTACCACATCTGGCATGTAGCTGTTTTTAACTTGCCAAAAAGTCATGTTTTGTATAAACCTGGTTCATTTAATAAGTATTTACTGATCATTTCCTGTTGGAAATGCTAGGATCTAGAAATACTAAAAAAAAAAAAAACAACTAAGATTTTTGTTTTCTTTCCTGAGGGGCTATGCTCTGGGAGGACAAAAGCATAACTAGCTCTAATTTAGTGCAGTTACAGTACTGACTGTGGCTACTTGGGGTGATAAATGAGAGCAAGAAGGCAGGATACCTTCCTCAGCCAGGAGACATAGAAAGTCTGGAATGCTTAGGACGATTTGGTGAAGAAATAGAGGGATAAGAGAATAAAGAGAATTATCACATAGAGAGGTGGAAAAACAGTTCATTGATTTGGGCTAATCTGACAATGTTTAGAATTATTGGAGTAGAAAGTATGGGGCAGAGATTGGTATGAAATAAGGTTGACTAGGTAAATACAGCTGATGATAAGGATCCTATATGCAATGTTGTTAGGCTTGTCTTTATTCTATGAGAATTGCAGAGGGTATCAATGACCACAGTGGTTAGCCCATGCTTAATTAACCAGAGGGATATAGTAGTGTCCGTTACCAAACAGTTTCAAGGTAGGACTGGTATAGCAACAACAAAGTAGTATTCGTGTTTAGGCTATTCTTTTTTCCTCTGTAGATTAAAACATTTTTTTGTGTGAACATGATACATGACTGTAGTGTTTGTACTATTTCTATCCTTCCCTGTCCCCCTCCAACTCCTCCCACATCCCCCCACTTCCTCTGAATTTCCTGCCCCCTTCCTTGATTGTTATTGTTACATATCCATGCATATATTATAAAAATAAATATATATATATTATACTGAGTTCATGTCCATTTAGTGGTGCTTCTCTATACCTGTGTTTAGGGGCTGCCTACTTGGGGTTAGATAACCTCTCAGGGAGCGTGTCCCTAGAGACAACTTATTCTCCTTCCCTCAGCATCCATTGATTGCCCGCAGCTCTTCATCTTGTGGTGGGTCCCCTTGAGATTTCCCCCATCCACCTTGGTATTTTAACTGATGATGTTATTATATGCAGATCTTGTTAGATGACCATACTGTGGAGATGTCATTGTACAGTTTTCCTGTTATGTCTACACTGCCTTAAGTAGCAGTAAATGTCTTGTCCCTCTGGCTCTTACATTCTTTCCACCCCCCCCCCCTTCTGCAATGTTCCCTGATCCTTAGGTATAGAGATTGCATTGTAGATGTGTCATTTAGGACTGGGCACCTCACAGACACTCTCTGCATTTGACTAACCAGTTGTAGAACTTCATAATAGTCTCCATCTGTCACAAAAGAAGCTTCTTTGGGGCTGGAAAGATGGCTCAGTGGTTAAGAGTGCTGGCTGATCTTGTAGAGGATCCAGGCTCAATTCACAGTACCCACATAGTGGCTAACAACTGTCTGTAACTCCAGTTCCAGGGGATTTGACACCCTCTTCTGACCTCTGCAGGCTCTGCACGACATACATTCAGGCAATATACTCATACACATAAAATAAAAATATATAAATGAGGGGCTGGGGAGATAGCTAAGTGGTTAAGAGCACTGGCTGCCTTTTGCAGAGGATCTGAGTTCGAGTTCCAGAACCCACTTGGCAGCTAACAACCATCTGTAATTCCAGTTCCAGGGGAATCCGGCACCTTTTGACTGCTGTGGGCATTGCATGACATGGGTGCACTTACACACATGCAGCTAATACACTCATACACATAAAGTAAAATAGTAAATAAAATATGTTAAAAATAAAGAAAATATTTATTAATATT